AGCTTTACTGCTGAAAAACGTTTATTTTATTGTCATGGATAGTTACAAGCGAGAGGGGAGTTGAGATGTTATTATTACCACAGTTCACTTAATTTTACAATTATTTTAGTTTAACATTCAGGAAGAATTCAACATAAACAGTAAAATGGAAATAACCAGTTTTTCATATTTTAAAATTGCAATGCAATGGCAAAAGTATATTTCTATAGCAAGATCAAATTAGTTAACTTATACTCGACTTGACGAGAAAACACCATTATTTCAATACGGCTTGTACTATACTTGGCTTAGTAAATACAAAGAAGACACCATTATTTGGTTATGCCAAATGGGCTGCAACTAAATAATTCTTCTACATTTAAAAGAAGCGAAGTTCAAATTTGAACTGACATAAAACTTGACATGATACAATCTGATGATACAATTGTGACTTACGTAATTGTCTCAACAGCGAACCAGACTCCATGCATTTTATTCATGTAATACTTAATCACAATTGATATCTAATTTCTTGGAAAGTAATTAAATTTATATCAGTCATGGAGATGTACGAAAAATCATGAATTCTCAACATGAGACGATGAATTATTCAATCAATTAAAATCATTTCTGTACACAAGGAATATAATGAATACATTTTTTGTTTTTCTGATAGTAATCTTTCTGGTTATTCGATGTACATTTTTCCTTGATTTCTTTTTCTTGTTTTTCAGTTTTCTGTCCATACCTTCTAGCATTTTTGTCTGTGCGTTATCGTCTGCTTGTCTTCTCCAATGCCGCCATTGAAAGATAATCTTTCACCTTAAATTTTCGGAAATTCATATAAAAATTCCGATTTTTCGTGAATTTTTTTCTCTGGTTATTTGACATTTTCTTTTTGTATGTTAAGTGTTTTTAAGTGTTTATATCTTTATTTCCTTTCATTTTTTCACATGAATCTTCGTCGAATCTTCATTTTTCAATTTTTTTCAAGATAACGGTTTTTTCTTTCGTTAAATAATTCTTTATTTTTAGCTTTATAGTTCTCTCTATTTATTGTCTGTCTTTTGTATTCTTTACTTTTTCCTTTTTCCCTTCTTTCCTTTGTTCTTTTTTTGTTGTTGTTGTCGTCACATGATCTGATCTCTCTTTATCTTTTCCTCTTCGTCATTTTTATTAAATAATTTACCTACTTCTAGTTGGTCTTCTTCCCTTTAGTCGTCATCATCGTCCCATTTCTTCATTTTTTGCTTCTCTTTCTTTATTTTCTTTATTTTTTAATCTTTTCTTTCTTCTTTTTCATCGTATTTCTTCACTTTTTATCTCTTTTTCTTTATTCTTTTTCTTCTTTGTATTTCTTCATTTATTTATCTCTTTCTTTTTCTCTTTCTTCATTTTCTTCATTTTTTAATCTTTTCTTTCTTCTTTTTTCAAATTCGAATTTCTTCATTTTTAACCTCTTATTTCTTCTTTGAATTTCTTCAGTTTTTAAGCTCTTCTTTTTTCCATTATCATATTTCTTCAATTTTAACTTCTTTCTTTTTCATCGTTGTATTTCTTCATTTTTTAGCGTTTTCTTGTTTTTTCTTCGTCGTATTTCTTATTTTATTTGAACTTTTTTCTCCTTCATCATCTTTGTCGTCACATTCGTCTTTCTACTTATTCTTTCATCTTCTCAGTCGCAGTTATCACTCCTCACGCCATCTTTCTTGTTCCGGTGTGTTATCCTCTTTCTTTCTTTCTTTCTTTCTTTCTTTCTTTCTTTCTTTCTTTCTTTCTTTCACAATCAATTGCTTAAGCGATCAACTTAACAACTGAAACACTATACCGCGTGATGTATCGATCGATCTTTATAAATATGTGACCAAACATACACAAGTATGTCTTCTCCCTCTGCTTTTCATCGTCGTCATTATATTTCTTCATTTTGAAGAAAAACAGGTAAGAATGAAAAAATATGGCAGATACATAAATATATGTGTATATAGTAAATCGATGGCTATGAATTTATAAATGGTAAACATGCAGACAACATTTACATGTATTAACCTATATGTAAGTGTTTGTGCGTGAGCGCGCGAGTGGGTGAATAAATGGACATATAAAAAAACGGGTCATAAAAAGGTTCTCAGCCCCGTCTAATACACAATATATCCGACCAAATAAAATAAATATAGCGATCAGTAAAAAAAAATCAATTAAATAAACAAAAAATCGAAATCAATGAATAAATGAACAATTTAAGTAAACAATAAACAAATTAATAATATAAATACACACAAACATAATAATCAAATAATTAAGTAATCAATAATAAATAATGTAATCGATAATAAATAGTTAACAAAAACACGATAAAATAACGACGAATGACTGCATTCAGGTACGCAATTACTTACACTTAATAACCACTAGAATAAATTGAAATAGTCTCGAGAGTGATTTGAAACCTAACCGTAAGGCCCATCCAATAACCGTTAGGATAATACAATAGACGTTCTTCCCATAATGCACCACCGTCCAGCACCTATAAATAACCGAGTCAAATCACACGACACATGAAAAAGACTGTCGCCGGTAGGTGTTGAATTCATTGTTGACATATATATATAATTGTCCTTCTAAATGTCAAGTAAATAAATAAAAAAGATATACAAAATATATTTATTCATCCAATATTTATACATATATGTGAGGCAGAGAGAGAGAGAGAGAGAGACAGACAGACAGACAGACAGGGAGACAGTGACAGTGAGAGAGTAAGCACATAGACTAAGGATTAAAGGCATTTATTCTTTCTTTTAAACATAATTTTCCTCGTCAACGCACTTTCTTTTACTGTTTTCATCCAATACAAGGCCCAAGAGACACTCAAAGTAAAGTGTTACTGATTTACGCTTGAGGTATAGATTTGAGAGGTGGAAGTAAAAAATGAAGATTATGAAGATATGAAAGATCTATAACGAATGATTCTGGACTTGAAGAGTTTAAGATTATAGTGTTCAAGGAAGTATCCACGCGGGAGTTTGCTCTATACAGTAGCGGTTCTTGGTAAGAAGATGTCTCTTCATAAATGAAATACGATCGCCGCGGATGAGGCAAGGCATGTCTTAGTTATGAATATTAAACACAAAGATCTAAATCATACAGAATATATATGTATATATATATACAAGTATAGGATTGGTGTATACGGAATAAATTCCAATAAACAAAAAATACTTTTCTTAAAAGAGTGATCAATGTAGAATAGAGCAAATATAATTATTTATTGAAAATTATAACATAATTATGTTATAAAATCACTACAAAAATAGCCATTTTGTTTCAACACAATGCACTACTGACCCATATATATAAATAGTCGAGGAAAAATCCAACATTCGCAGCCTGACGATTGCGTCTAGCATGAAACAGCCTGTCGCCTCTGAGTGTTGACTTCAATGTTCACTTATTATCAAGAGCTTGATATACATATTCAGTTATGGCCATAATCATATCAGTTGTAAACCGGGGAAAACGGAATCTATATTGTTTGTCATAGAATAGACCGTAAGAGGTAAGATGCTTAACCACTTCAACATTGATTAAAGCCTCGGTTACTTTGCCGAAAAGCTGTAGGAGACTAATAGGGCGATAATTAGAAAGGTCAGAAGGTTCCCCAGAGTTCTTAAAAACAGGAACTACATCGGAGGACTTTCAATAAGCTGGAAAGCAAGACGTAGCTCGGCAATAGTTGTAGAGTTTGGAGAGAACTGGAGCCAACTCTAGAGACATTTCTTTAGGACGACGGCATGTATCCCATCACCTTCACTTGAATTATGGATGTCTAATTTAGAAATTATGTCCGAGAGCAGTGACGAGGTTATGTGCATATCACTCAGCAGAGCGTCTGTTCTAAGGAGTGGAGGTGGGGAGATCAGGTGTGGGTACTCCAGATAAGTTGTGTTGAGTTGGAAGAGAATTTTCGAGCAAAGCATTCAACCATATCTGCTGTAGATGTCAGAACTTCGAATTGTTTGAATAGAGGAGGGGTTGAGGATTTACGGTTGTTTAGTACACCCTCGCAGAGCCGCCAGTAATCTCTAAAACCGACTTTGCAAGATGCTAATATGCTGTTTCATTGAGGACACGCTTGCACTTTTTACAAGCAGAGACAAAGAGACGTCTGTTGAAATCAGACGTGTCGCTCTGGTACAGCCGGAAGAAGTGATTCCTGCGGGCTATAGAAACGACTTTCGATAAATATTGAACGTTATTATTTCTAATGTAATATGATTGATTTATTGATTGATACTTTTTCTACAGCTTATCAATTCTTTGCAGGCTAATTAAAGCCAGAAAATATTATTAGATTGTAAGAAGTTTTGTGGGGAGAGATAATAATGGTTACAGATACAAGTCTTAATAATTAACCCATAGCTGGAGGTAGAAGAAGTGGATTCATACCTTTCCCAAGGGTATTTGCGCGTAAGTGAATATGACGAACCCAGCTGAAATTGTAACTCGGCTCTTCAATTAACAATTCCTTGCCGTTATCCATTAAACCACACGCACATACAAGCTTACAGCACCTGGTATTCTCAAGAGGTCACCCATGTAGGTACGGACAAGGCTCGACGTTGCTTAACATCGTACGGAAGCCGGTGTTTCAACATGATGAGCAATGAGACCTCTGATTTAGTAATAGAAGAAAAATTATGAAGCTTTGCAAACTCATCACAATCTAATGGTTTTTGCCTTTCGTCAAGGATTTTTATAGACAAAAATTCCGATTACCGATGAGAGCGCCTTCTAGCGGTGTTTTAGTTTGTCTTTTCTTAGAATTTCTAGAGACTGGTTCCTTCTAAAACAATTTACTTAAACAATCAGCATATTTCCGAAATATGAATTATACCTTATTAATAAGACACCTCAAAACAATATTACATGACTTTGTAAATAAACTAAACAGCATCGAACTTAACTATGAAAAAAGAAATCGAATTTAATTATGAAAACAGGAACAGACCTATCATCATTTACTGCGATGTGCTTTCATGATGAAGATAGATATGATGCATTTGTCTCATGGGGACGGATGCAGTGCATTTGTAACATGAGGTGGGATGCAAGGTATTTGTAACATGAAGACCGATGCGCCGCATTTGTAACATGAGAACAAATGTGTCACATTTGCAACCTAACGACTGATGCGTCGCTTGTGCAACCGAAAGACAGACGTGTCGGTTTTGCAGCCTGAAAACAGTCATGACGCATATGTAAGATGACAACGGATGCGTCACATTTGCAACATGTGAACGGATGCGTCACGTTTGCAACATGAGAATGAATGCATCACATTTTCAACATGAGAATGGATGCATTGTATTTGCAACATGAGAAAGGATGCGTTGCATTTGCAACATGGGAACGGATGCGTCGTATTTTCAACATGAGAATGGATGCGTTGTATTTGCAAAATGAGAAAGGATGCGTTGCATTTGCAACATGAGAACGGATGCGTCGCATTTTCAACATGAGAACGGATGCGTCGTATTTTCAACATGAGAATGGATGCGTTGTATTTGCAACATGAGAAAGGATGCGTCGCATTTTCAACATGAGAACGGATGCGTCGCATTTTCAACATGAGAACGGATGCGTCGCGTTTGCAAAATGAGAATCGATGCATCGCATTTGCAACATGAGAAAGGATGCGTCGCATTTTCAACACGAGAACGGATGTGTCGCATTTGCAACATGAGAATGGATGCGTTGTATTTGCAACATGAGAACAGATGCGTCGCATTTGCAACATGTGGACACGTGCGTCGCATTTATAACCGAGGACGGACGTATCGCATTTGCAAGCAGGAGATAGATTCTTCGCATTTGCAAGCAGGAGATAAATTCTTCGCATTTGCAACCAGGAGATAGATTCTTCGCATTTGTAACCTGAGGAGGGACGCGTCATATTTGCAATGTGAGAACGGATCATTTCTTGCAAAAAAATCTCCAGTTAAATTTCTTTACTCAGAAATAAATATTTTCTTTGCCCCAATGCTTTTTAAATATCGAATTAACTGATTCGTCTCTAATTTTTTTTTCTTTAAATTTCTCCGCTGTTTATGTTGCATTGTCTTAAGATGTTTTCAATGTTATGTCTCAAATCTGAATCATCGATGCCGTCATTGTTGAAAAGATAGTCGTTCGTGTTGTGTGACCAAATCTTTTTTTTTTTCTGATTTCAGTTTCAAAGCTGCGCGACTACCACTAATTAAATTTCTAGGATATGTTCATAAAATCTTCTAAAATTTCATTAAAGCGTTAGAATTGATATGCTAATCAGTGCATTGAAAACCGTATCCCATAATTACTACCAGCGGCAAAGAAATGTACTTGCCGCTTTAAAATTTAACGATTGCTTATCAAAAATTATGTCACGAATGAACACGTGATTAAAAAGGCGGGAATGTCACGTGATCTGCTTTTCTTTCTTTTTTGTGGATTTTGATAATTATTGAATGTGTTTACGCATCAAATCGACCATCATATCGATTGATTCATTAATAAAGTAAATTTATTGATCAGTTCTTTAGATGCATATTTTACTAGGATCACCGCGCTAACGGGATAGAATATCTCAGAGCTTCACGTGGCTAGAGTGTTCACTGACTGAAAGAAAGTTATAGTAATAAAACCAAAGATGGAGATACTCGTTAGAATAGTGGCATAGTGGAAAAATCTTTGAAGGCTAGCGATCTGGTCGACCGAAGCAAAGATCTTGTTTTTACAATATTCAATCTGTACAAGGCCAAGAGCCACTCGAGGTAGAGTGGTACAGTGTAAGAGGAACGGTTTATATGTGGGGAAGATAACCGTTAATTCTAAAATTGAACGGGATAAGATTGTAGTGATCAGGAAAGCATCCCCTTGGGAATCGGTTCCATAAACAGTGGTTCGTGGAAGAAGCTGCTCGAGTGGAACACCAGGGGGATACGAAGGGAATGAGGGTGATTTGCTACAATGGGCGTGGCATGGTGGATGAAGGATAGGACAGCTAGAACTAAAGAATGTAGTTGGAAAGAACAACAAAAGAAATAAAATCTAAAGTAATTAGTAGAATTATTAGAGCTGATATGATATTATTTATAATCAAATCAACAATGATGAGGATGCTAGTTTGAAAAAATCGTAGAATGAGGAATGTGTAATCTCAAAGCATCATGCAACACGAGGAAGGACGAAGAGCCAACTGGATGCTATGTAGCCAAAACAATAAAAAAAAAATGATATCCGAAAATGTCACAGATTCATAACCGTTGTTTATGTTTGAAATTACCGTCTATACTCGTCTAGCGCGCGATCTCGCGTATCCTGCGATCCAAAAATTTCTACTTATAACAAATGATTTTATCATGTATCTCGTGTATCATGCTAGTTCCTTTTCTGAGACCATATATATATATATATATATATATATATATATATATATATATATATATATAATTTTGTGTTTGGGCAGCAATCCCTCTTTTATACAGGTTTCATTAAAGACGACTGATAAGATACTGTGATTAAGACTTTTTATTTCATTTTTCTTGAGTTCGTATACGTGTTTTCTTTTCTAGACATAAAATGTGTAAACGTTGTCCAAATGTTCTATATATCCAAGTGCTTTCGGCTATTCCATTTGCCATTATCAAGGCTGTTTTTGTTTTATTTTTATTGTTATACTGAATGTGTAGATTTTTATGCATATTTCTAGAGTATTAAGAATGTTCATAGTTGATGTTATTTAGTTCTGGATTTTTTTTAATTATTAGTGCTTTCATTATTTTTAGCCTTTTTTTTTTACATGCGGATTATGCTTGTATTTTCTACAAGTATATTGCGGATGGAGTTTTGTAGGTTTTCATGTGTATTTAAATGAGTCCTAATCGAGCTATTGCCAGAGAGGTGTAATGTGAGTCTTCTTAATAGGCATGTAGCGGTATGTCCAATGTAACTATTCATGAATTTGGTTTGATCAGGAACACAGTTCTTTAAGGGACATGTCAGTTCCCTAAATAACATTGGTTCTATGTAATTTAGATCTTGCGGGTGACTTATTGTTGACGATAAGTTTAGCTGTTTGACATTTTTATAGGCGATAATTAATTTAATATCCTTGTTCTGATCGACTGGGGTTGTCTATTTCTTTATAATGTTTCTAAGAGAATATATATATATATATATATATATCTATAAAGAACAGTAAGATATATAATCCGGTGTTCTTATAGATGTTTTTATTTTTACAAAATAGTGCTCAATGTAAATTTAAAGAGCATTAATATTATAAATTAATTGATTTAAAATATGTTTTTCTTTCGCTACACAGTTCTAACCATGTTTCAAAAATGGAAGCTGAAAGCTTCGAATTTAGTTTTGTAATTAAAAAGTTAAAAAGTTTTAAAAGTTACTCCAAAATAATAATTTTGTAATGGAAAAGTTAAAGTTTTAAAAATTCAAAATTCGCTTGAGGATGAAATGGAACTAATTTAATTACAAAATTAAATTCAACGCTTTCACCTTCCATTTTTGAAACATGGTTAGAACTGTGTAAAGCTATAAAAATCATATATTTTAAATATATATATATATATATATATATATATATATATATATATATAAAGGAGGCGTGGATAGAGAAGTGGATAGCGGGTCGAATTGAGGAATCGATTAGAACCGAGTTCAAATTACAGTCGGGATTACATTCACTTATTTCACTTAGGTAAGGTATTAATCCTCTTCTTCTTTCTCCAGCTATGGTTAAATAGCAGGACAGACTGGGTTCTATAGCCTTGGATGGCAACTGGTCTAGGAGAATGACAATTCTGAATTCAAACCAGTCCGATAGCATTAAGAAGTTACCTTTCTGATGGATAAATTCGAACCTGGTTTCATGATCGGCAATCGAACAATCTTGACACTCAGCCACCCAAAACACACACACACACACAGACACACATATAATATATATATATATAAGACTTCTAATATATGTTAACTTCTTCATAGATTGAAAACCACAGGTTACCATATGTCACTTACTGTTTGACATCATTTGCAAGTGGGCGTTACTCCTGTATTAGAAATCGAGGTGTTTGTTGTCTTCTAAAAGAAATGAATCATGATTGTGAGGATATTTACCGAAGGAGTCAAACAAACTGCATTTGTTGACAAAAGCAAACGTACGTTTAGATATGCAAACGTGTACTGTACGAGTGGGTGCTGAAAAATCATCAACACAACCCACTTCACAAAATCAAATCGAATAACCAAACATCAGAATGTCTTTTAAATCCATTTTTTCTCGTATAAACAATTGGTGATGTAACACACAGAGGTAACACACACACACACCATATATAGCCAGTATCGACATAGGAGTTAACACTGCATGGTGACTGTCAGTTTCCCATTTGAAGATAACATTGCTGAATGAAACTTACTGTCACCATGCTGTGTTGATTCTTATTGCAACACTGACTATAGCTATAAATGCGCTGTCTCCGGTATTCAGCTCACGCAATAAATATTTCCAATTTTAACGATAATTATATATATATATATATATATATATATATATACATATATAAATTCGCTTGAGGATGAAATGGAACTAATGTCTTTAATATAATTACAAAATTAAATTCAAAGCCTTTATCTTCCATTTTTGAAACATGGTTAGAACTGTGTAGCGAAAAAAAACATTTTAAATCAGTTAATTTATAATATTAATGCTCTATAAATTTACATTGAGCACTATTTTGTAAAAATAAAAATATCTATAAGAACACCGGATGATATATATTACTGTTCTTTCCTTTTATTTATATATATATATATATATATATATATATATATATATATATATATATATAGAGAGAGAGAGAGAGAGGAGAGAGAGAGATAATTATTTTGTCTATTCAGCCCAGCCCACTTCCCAAAATCCAATCGCACAACCAAACATCAGAATGTCTTTTGAATCCATCTTCGTGGTTGATCCGAAGATTTTTTTCAACACTTTCTCGTATAAACAATTGGTGATGTAAAACACACACACACACACACACACACACACACACACACACCATATATAGCCAGTATCGACATAGGAGATAACACTGTATGGTGACTGTCAGTTTCCCATTTGAAGATAGCATTGCTGAATGAAACTTACTGTCACCATGCTGTGTTGATTCCTATTGCAACACTGACTATAGCTATAAATGCTCTAACTCCGGTATTCAGCTCATTTACCATATAAATATTTCAAATTTTAACGATAATTTTCTATATATGTATAATTATGTTGTCTAAAATTTGCTATATCTGTGGGAGAAGAGTGTTCTATATCAGAGCTTGTAGATCTAAACAGTGTGGACATAGAACGCAACATTGCATAGTGACTGGCAGTTTCACATCATAAACAATCATCTGACGATATTTTTCCTTTTAGTGAAATGTGAAATCGGAGAGCGGAATTCAAATTCCAGTCAGATTCATTACGTTCACTAACATGGAAATAGCCTTGGGAAAAGTATGAGTTCATCTATTCCCCCAAACTAAGGGTTAAATAACAATAAAAACTGGGTCCTGTAGCCTTGGCTGTCAACCAGTCTATCGCAGAAAGAAACAGCAGCCTACTGTGGGAGAAATCTTCTGTCTAGTCAATGATGAATCAAAAGAGACCTAATCGGCCAACCGTGTATCACGTATTGTAGTTAATTGGAATATATATATAAGTATTTAATATCTAGGTGCTGCCCAGAAAGAAACTGTGGAATGTCTCATCCACTTTAAATAATAGTTTTTGCAAACTTAGACTCACATTTGTTCTATCAGCGCTGTTATAACCAGAGTCTGGCTATCCTCATGCCTTATTTAAAAAAAAAAAAATGAGGATCTATTTTGCTTTTTAAATCA